TGTCGATATTTCAACCATACAGTCACATATTCGACCTCGCTTCTGAATCGCCCCTATAGGGGATTAAATAAAGTTAACTGAATTGAATTGAACTGAATTACGAACATCACATTGTTGTAAAAACTCTAAATATGTCTGTACTGTCCAGCTACTCCACAATGTCATGTCCAGTCGCCCTTCATGCTGTTTGTACTACATTTTATTGTCAAGTCATGGTCCTGAAATGTGCAATGTCATCCCACTGTGCACGTAAATAACAACAACAAAGAGGATATTTAACTTGCTGCCACAGAAGCAGCTCTGAGGTCTGATAATAACCAACAGATGACGGTAGCTCCTCTGCTCCTGCTAGCTCCAGCTGTTTAGCCTCCGCTCCGCTAGCACCACGGACAGCGACACCGGAGCGGCTCCACGCGGCAGCAGAGCAGCTGTCCGAGCAGCGACACTCACGTCTCGTAATGGGACACATTCACGTTTCCATCCCGCAGCATCGGCTGTGCGACTCAAACAAGAGTTAGCGCATCGCTAGCGCATCGTTAGCTCGGAGGCTAACAGCGCAGAAACAGACGTTAGCGCAGCGGCTAACAGAGGATCGTTAGTGACATTCAGGACTAAATAAAGTCCAACAGAGACGCTGCGCGGCTTCACTACTCACCGTTCAGAGAGGAGTCAAAGTTTGAAAAAAAGTCCAATAAAGCAGCAGTGAACCGCCCGAAGCAGCAGGTGTTAGCATGCTAAAGATGCTCGGCGTGACTTCCTGACTGTTACCATGGAGACGGCGAGAGTCTTAAAGGGCCAGCAGCGCTCTGGTTCCCCACACTGACAGCTGCTGCTGCTGCTGCTGCTCTGGATCCATTTATTTAGTGTTTCTTACAAGATTTGATGATTTAAGAGGGATTATTTTTCATTAAAATACTCGAGCAAACCCTAAAATATTCTGGTGGGTTGGTTGTTTGGTTCTGATGCTTTTAAGTTTGTTTGCTTTGCCTCAAAAGCCTTAAAAAGAAAGAGAATTATTACACTTTAAAACAAAAGATCCAAGTTTAACTAAGTCAAGGTTTAGTTATGGAGCATTTAATCAGCGGCATCAGAGCTGGAACTGTGAATTAAATAGTCATTGGTGTGGTGAGATAATAACAATAATCACAATAATAATAATAATAATAATAATAATAATAATAATAATAGTGGTGCATATATATTTTTGTTTAAACGTCGGCTACAACTCCAACTATTAATGCTAAAACCAGGTCTGCTACAACTACTGCTACTTGTCGTACTACTACTAATGACAATGAGGTAACAGCTACTACAAACACTTCATCTTTAACCCTCTTCTAGTTTTCTTTACTGTGTGTTCATCTTAAATCAGATTTGTCCTTTGCTCTCTGTGTTTACGTCTGATGGGTTGTTGTCTTTAATTTTACATCACTTTGGTTCGACTCCTGTTGCAGATCTACACCAAACAAAAAGTGTGCTTTGTGTTCAGAGGAACCAGCCGATAACGAGACGAGTCCCTGTTTCAAAGTCATTCCAAAATAACCTCGTATGGCGTCACCAAAGCCCACAGCAGTGCAGCACCTATAGGACTTAATCAGACGGGATCATTATTTCATTTCTGTCATCACGCTGTTTAATTACGTTCACATAAATTAAATGTAATGAAGGGCCTCTTAAAGGCGGTGATGAATCAGGAGCAGCAGGAGACGCTTTCAAACTGTCATTCAGGGAGCTTCTGTCAGAAAACCTGTCCGTCAGCTTCACCCGCAAACTCCGGCACAGACTGAGAATAACTAACTTGTTTTGTTTTGTTTTGTTTTTTTTAAATCATGATCTAACGTTTACTTGAACATTTTAAATAATTTTCTACGACTTTCTTCTGTGGTAACATCACTGAACTGTTTTGTCAGCGTGGGTGTGACGTACAAAAATGTCAACAACAGAAAAAAAGCTGGATGTTAATGTACAAAGGTCCAAAAATGTGGATATTAGCAGGCAAAACCTTGCTATTAGCAGAAAGAAGTGTAAAAAGAATAAATATGAGCAGGCAAAATTATCAAAAACTTGGATATTTACCCACGAAACTTTCAAAAATATGGATATCAGCAGACAAAAGTGTAAATTATCTGGATATTATTGCATCAAAGGGTCACTAACCTGCAGAATAACTCAGATAAAGTGCCAACAACTGGGATAATAATGCACAAAAGGGTCACAAACGTGGATATTAACCCATGAAACCTTAAAAAATCTGGATATCAGCTCACTGTAGTGTAAATTGTATGGATGTTAATGCATTAAGGGGTCAAAAATCTGGATATTAAGACAGAAGCGTTCTTGCAGGCAGCAGGCAGCAGATGGCAGCCTGGCTTCACGGATCAGACTGCCGTTACTCTCAGGCAGGCTGCTGATGTGTTCAAGGCCTCCGTCTCCTGCACTGAGCCTCATTCATGGAAACACGGCGTCCGTCCCAACAATCTGCCATCAGACCGAGACTCAGGTGAGCAGCAGCAGCAGCAGCAGCAGCAGCAGCAGCAGCAGTATCAGGGCCAAACAGCAGAACTGCGGCGTTATCAGTCAGCTGCAGCCCTCCACACACAGATCTCTGCAAAAGTGAAACAAGGCTCCTGGATATCGGTTCTAAAAAAAAAAAAAAACACGCACTGCAGTAAACGCTGTCGCTGTGAGACGAGACTATTAATAACCCCGAAGACGATCATCTCACATCCGTCAGACCAAAGTGCTGCTGGAAAGATGTTGTTTTTGCAATAACGCACAGAATCATACCGCTTTTGTCGATAACTGGATATTAACACGCAATGATGTGACAGCACAGGAGCTTCAATAATAGCAAAATTAAATGTCAAAAACTTGGATATTAACTCACAAAATTGCCAATTAACACACAAACCTGCACTTTAACTCGCAAAAGAGCATCAACACCCTGGATATGAGTACATTAAAGTCTCTATATCCTGGATTTTAAGACAAAAAATGCGGCTAATAACGCAAAAACATATCAAAAACTTCAACATGGTAGCAAGAAATCGTCAAGCACTAAAATATTAACGCACAAAAGCGCCAATAATCTTCATTTTCATGCACTAAGGTGTCAAAAACCTGGCAATCAACACACAAAAGAGTGTCAACAACCTGGATAAAGGCACAATAAAGTATCCGCAGTCTAGATATTAACGCAAAAAAAAGTGCCAATAATCTGCCTATTGATGCACTAAAGTCTCAAAAACTTGGAGATGACAGCGTGAAAGTGTCAGAAACCTGAAAAATAATAAATATAAAAGTCAAACGCCTGGATGTTAGCGCACGAACGTGTCAGAAATATTGATAGGAACATAGAAAAGTGATAAAAACCTGGATATTAATGCATCAAAGTGTCAAAAGCCAAAATATGAACCCACAAAAGTGTCAGTAATCTGGATATGAGTGCGTTAAATGATCCACATGCTGGATAATCACAGTAATCAATGTCAATAATCTTCCCAATAAAACACAAAAGTGTCAATAAATGCATATTAACCAAGAAAATAATAAAAAACCTGGATATTAACATACAAAAAAACAGATTCTCCTGTTTTAAAGTGTCAATAATCTCACACAAAACAGTTAAAAACCTGGATAATAATGTAGAACAGTAGCAATAACCTGGATAGTAGCACACATAAGTGTCATCTGTCTGGATGTTCATGGACAAAATCATCACAAACCTTCATATTGACACAGTGAAACATCAAAAACCTGGATAATACCATAATAAAATCATCAACAACCTGAATATTAATGCATAAAAGCATTGATAACACACAAACTAGTCAATAATCTGGACACTGATGAACAAAAAAGGGTCAAAAACCTGAATATTAATGTGCAAATGTAGTAACAACCTTGATACTTGTACTCTAACGTGTCTAAAATCTGGATATTAATGTACAAAAGTCTCAAAAAGTGTCAAGTGTCAATGTTTACATGAGAAAGTGTCGATAATATTGATTTCAATGCACAAAAGTATTAAAAAATCAGGACATTTATGTTCAAAAGTGACAAAAACTTGGATATCATAGCATGAAAAGGTCAGAAACCTGGAGGTTACCGTATCAAAATAGTCAACAACCTCAATAATAACGCACAAAAGAGGGTCAAAAACCTGAATATTAAGACAAAAAGTGTCGGCAATCTGGATATTTAAGTATAAAATAGTCATAAACCTGGATATTGACACAATAAAATAACAAAAACCTGGACAATCATGGACAAGAGTGTCTAAAACCTGAATATGAATGTAGAAAAATGTAAATAATTTGGATATTAAGGCAATAAAGTGTCTAAAACCTGAATATTAATGTACAAAAAATGTAAATAATTTGGATATTAAGGCAGTAAAGTGTCTAAAACCTGGATAATACCAAATAAAATAGTCAACAAGCAGAATAATAATGTGTAAAAACAATAATAACACACAAAATAGTCAATAATCTGGATATTTATGTAAAAAAAAAAGGGTTAAAAACTTGAATATTAACACAAAAAGTGTCAATAATCTGGATATTAATGTATAAATGAAGCAATAACCTTGAAACTGAAACTCTAAAATGTCAATAATCTGGATGTTGATGAACAAAAACCTGAATATTAACATAAAAATAGTCGATAATCTGGATTTTGATGCATCGAGGTGTCATAACCTGAACACAAACCAGCAGTCAGAGTGAACACTGGGTGTCGGCCGTATTATTCATCATGGTTCTGATCATATCGTTCACGTCCAGGGTTCCTCCCCTTCAGTTGTCACCCAGTGTTTCCTTCCAGCCCTCCCCCCCTCCCCCCCTCCTCCCCCCTGCAGATGCAGCACAATGGCACACATTCATCTGCTCATTGTGTCCGAGGCCGCTCAGATCAGGGAGCTGGCAGCAGACACGATCCTGTCCTCCCAGATGCTCTGCACAGGGAGCGTGTCGCTGCAGGAAAACTCCTGCACGTCCAAGTCCTGCCGGCTTTTATCTCTGAGACCCAAACCTCTGGCTCCGTCCGTCCGTCCGTCCGCCCGTCCGTCCGGCTCTTCCTCCCCTCAGCCTGCCAGTTGTCTCGCCATCTGCCTGCTTCCTCCACGATAAGAAGGAACCGACGCCCGTTTGAAACGTTCCCCCTGCGCCTCCTGCCTGAACCCCCGCTGGGCGAGACACCTCGAAATCCATTCGGCCCGCTCGGTGCTGTGTTCCTTACATAAGAGCCGCCACTCTTACGTAAGAAACCCTGACAAAGGCCCTGCTGCTGCTGCTGCTGCTGCTGCTGCTGCTGCTGCTGCTGCTGCTGCTTCGCCCTCTCAGCTCCAACCTTGAGAGAGCCAAGGCTACAGGAGGGAGGATATCTGTCGTGGTGGAATTACAGAAAGACGTGTTTGGGTTTTTTTTTGTTTTTTTTAAATGGCCCCAAAAAAATTCAGATAATTTCAAAAATAAAGCCCGAAGCCACGCAGGGATCCAATTAGTCCGGAGAGAGCTTAAAATCTAAGAAGACTCAGGATTTTTATTTACCAACTTTACTTCAAAGAAGCTTAAGAGAAGCCAAAGAAACAGAAACGCGGTGATGAAACCCGACGCAAAACCAGAAAAGAAAATGTGTACCTGTGAGATAAAAACAAATAAAAACATATATAGTGAACAAACTGAAATGG